TTTGTCATCTTCCCAAAAAGGAAATTTACAGTTTGAAAATGATGTTGCCTTTGTTGTTATCACAGTCTCTCTGTGTGCTGATAGGAGTGACTGAGCACATCGGTAACACCGGAAAGAGGGGGGGAATAAGGATGCACCGTTGATAAACTGGCATTTTTCAGGAGATTAATCAAGCAGAAGCAAAGACTGTATCCTGGAAGTCCCAGCTATTTTTCCATGGTTGTCAAGGCAGGCGTGACTTTGATTCACCGTACAGAAATTAAACCAAGCACCCAGTCTGCACTGTTCACAGCTTCTATTCTCAGCATCCCCCAACTAAGGCTGAATCGAACAGACAACACTGCAACAGAAAAAAGCTGTGACTGTGCCCCTCGAGCATCACTTGGTTCGCAGTGAAAGGAAGCAGAGCGAGGAAGAGTATATTCTTCTGGAGATGCTCCTCCTACCCCCAAGCCAACACCAACAACTAAGGTTTGGCTTCAGGGAAATAACTGTGAAAGCCACTGAGCAGCACTGCTGGCAGCCCAGGTGGAGGAAGCCCCACAGAGCCCCGGGCACTGCCAGACTGGGGGGCTCTGAGCCACCCTCTGATCTCATCCTGCTCCCCATCCCCTCCCCGAGACACCTGGATGCCGCCCACATGCAGAGATGCCAACAGCAACTGCGACGCTGGGCACCTCCATGAGGCACCTGTGCCTTATGGGAGAGGGCAGCTGGCTACGGGAGCTCGAGGATCTGCCATCTCCAACACGGTCATTGTTCTCCAGAAAACACATCCATCTTGCGCTAGCTGCACAGGAGCTTTACACTACGTTTGCCAAAGATTTGGTCAGTGCAATGGGATGTCCGAGGTCACGTTGAGCTGGTGGGATGCTCCAACGCTTGCATTGTCCCAGCCACAAGGCGAGCAGCACATCTACAAGGACGGTCTCCAACCCACTACAAGCAGTGCCGTGCTCAACAGTGAGCAGCAGCACAGCGTGCATGTCACGGCAAGGGGCAGCAGGGGACAGGAGGAGGGAAGGGCCGGCACAGATAGCTTCTTTGAAAATATTTATGTGTAGGAGGGAGGACTTTGACTCTCTCAAGTCAGACTTCAGAAACACAAAACCAGAACAAGATGAAGAGAGCCTTGTGCCTCCACAAGAACAACCAACGAACATCCTAGGACATTCACTCTGTCTTTAAAAGCCTTCAGACAAAAACAATAAGGGAGTTGACTATCTTACAATGGCGTTTAAGTAAGAGAAATTTGGGCCCAGTCTCCTGGTAGCAGGAAAAACTACTGTCACATTGATCTGGTTTATCATCCAACACCTAAAACTGGGCAACCATTACACCTAGTAGCTCTAGTGAAATACAAAAGGTTTCCAATTTAAACTTCACCTTAAATTATTCCCAGCTGGTCTCAGTTATGAAAGCCTCGCTGGCACTTCTTCCTCAAGGGTAGAGTACAGCCACTAGCACAGCCAAAACTCTCTTTCCATCAACACTTCATCCCGCACATCGCATTTTCTCTTGTATCTTGCTTTTGTATTCTGACATTTTTTAGTTACTTACCTGCCTGAATACAGTCTTACATGTTCTTATGCGATGTAATATATGGTGCTTTAAAGAGTTTGACTTTTGAGTGACTGTTTATCAGCTGTTCCAAGTTTGTTTGGGTGAAATGTTGCAAAAGCACAAAAACGTTTTGGTGAAATGTTGCAAAAGCACAAAAACTAACAAACACATAAGAACCACTAAACCCAAAGTTTGCTGAAAAGGGAGTTTTCAAAGCAGCATGCAGGGGTTCAGCCACCACACA